TCCGTATAATAAACAAGACAGAGTTCATACCTGAGAACCTAGGCGAAAGCCAGGATTGTACATTTAGAAGGGCTCTAGGTCCTAGAGAGTCAGGAAGGTTTGCAGCAAGGGTCAGGGACCCAGTGGAAGGGTCTGGTCAGCACAGAGCCAGGAACAACGTGTTCATTTGTAGGTCTGTAATCTACGTAACAAGCATGTGCAATAACAGCAGGGAGAAGCTTGAGAGTTTTTCAGTCACTGGAGTCCTTATTTATTTCTCCTCTTCCCTTTCTGCATGGCCCTGAGGAGGTGGATAAGCTTGGGCCCACGGTAGCTGCAAAAGGTAGACCTGACAGGAGGAGAGAATTGAGAAATGTGACCGCGAAACTGGAGGCCTAGACACTGTCCCATCTGGTCCTGGGGTCCTCCCCGCCCGAAGGAGAAGCAGCCTTCATGGCACTTGTGCTTACAATCGGAAGCCTTGAAAGATTTAAAGATTACTGCCAATGAAAACGAAGACTTATCACTTGACTGCAAGAAGGTGTTAATTTGCTTCTGGAGCGAGCCATTTTTTAAAAAAAGATTTTAGAGTTTTATTTGAGACAGGAGCACATGGGGGCTGAGGAGCAGAGGGAGAGGGAGAAACAGACCACCCCCACCACCCTTATCCCCCCTCCACTGCCCTCCCACAGGGACCCCAATGTGGGACTCCATCCCAGGACCCTGGGGTCATGATTAAGCCGGAGGCAGATGCTTAACCTACTGAGCTACCCAGGCACCCCGAAACTAGCCATTTAACTTCTAGAAGAGTGAATTATAACCCCGCACATTGGAAGTTTTTCAAAGCATGGATTGCTGGGCTCGACCTCAGACCAATTAAGTTAGAATCTCTGGGGAGGCGGATGAGGCCTAGGTATCTACATATTTTAAAAATTTTCAATGATTTTAGCTTTCTTTAACTTTTTAAAGTTACTTTTAAAGGATGAAAGCATCACAAACTGTTCATCGTAAATAAAATTACGTAAAAAAATTCTGACTTCTACTCCCTCTCTATATAGAGTGAATATGAAGAGATATAAGAGAATATTGTATAAAGAATATAAAGAGAATATTTGTTTACTTACCATCTTTTTCATAAATCATAATGTATAGCCAATAAATTGTCCCCAGATAAGCATCCTTTCATAAATACCATATAGGTCAAGAGAACGAACACTATCAGAGGCTCCAGCCCCTGCTCATGTTGCTTCCCACCCTTACCCTCTCTTGCTTCCATAAAAGTATAAAAAGTTTTCCAGGTAATTTTAATGAGCCATATCATTGTCTAATTGCCCAGGTAATTTTAATGAGCCATATCATTGTCTAATTGCCCACCTTTCCACTTTGTTTTCTTCATGTTTTTTTTTTAATGATGAGAAAATATTTTAGGTATGAGGATTTGATCTCTCTGATCAAATGATATTAATACCAATAACAAATAACTGGAGTGTTCTATGTGTGCTCACATGTTACCTGTGAATGTCCTATCGTGACAGCAAACTTTCAAGCCATTACTCATTCAAGGAATGTAGGCTTCTTTTCTTTTCCTTTCTTTTCTTTCCTTTCCTTTTCTTTTTTTTTAAGATTTTATTTATTCATTCATGAGACACACACACACACACACACACACACACACACACACACAGAGGCAGAGGGAGAAGCAGGCTTCCTGGGAGGGGAGAGGTCCAATATGGGACTCGACCCCAGGACCCCAGGATCACGCCCTGAGATGAAGGCAGGCCCTCAACCACTGAGCCACCCAGGTGGTTTATTTTTCTAAAACGAAATTAAACTTCTTTCTTGAGCTCCATAGCACCAGATGGTAGAAAATACCTTTCTGTTCAGTTTCGACAGTGACCATGAGCGATAGATGGCAGCTGCTCCCCATTGCAAAATGAGGGTCCACCACGTCAAGGGAATACGTGGCCACACTGTGAAGCCTGAGCTTGCTGAGGCAAAGGACGGTGATTGTGCATATGGGACCACTTGTGGGGACATAGGCCCAAATGAGAGAGCCACCCTGTTGGCCATTTTAAATGCTGCCCAAGGAACAGCCTGAAGAGAGAAGGTGACCTCAAGAGAACAGAGGGCTGCTAGATCCCAAGGGGCCGAGGGGACATCAACAGGCAGCCAGAGAGACAACAGTGGTGATTTGAAATGACTGCAAAATGCCCACCAGATGGTTAGCTTTAATACCTGTGCTGAGCCCGGAGAGCTTATAGACCAATTCATGACGATACAGTGGAGGGGCAAGAACATTTGCGCTGCCACTACTTTTCCGTCCCCACTACCCCTCAACTCTGGAATAGCCAGAGACAGACTCAGAGTGGGGGCAGTGGGTATGCAGGTGAGAGACAGACGGTCTATTCAGGAAAACAAAACAAAACAAAAAACCAATCTGGGATGGATTTCCTCTCCTCCTTACAGTAAGCTTTGGCCATGCTTTTTGAGGGACGGCTAATTTCTGGAAAGGGAAAATACTTTAAACTTAAAAAGCATTTGAAAATTTTGACTATGTTTGGATCAAACATTTTGGTTAGTTTATGTGCAAATTATGTGTGTGTATGTGGAGACATTTAAAAAAAAATCTAAGTATGACTAGAAAAATCACGTCTCTGTGTTTATCCAAAGGAGTTGAGAAGTGCTCCTAGGCCACAAAGCAGGCTTGAATCGGCAGTGGGAGAATGATGAAAATTATTTTCTTTTCCTTTTTTTCTTTCTTTTTCTTTTATTTTTTTGTTAGAGAAGGGGAGAGAGAGAAAGTGAGTGAGTGGGGGGCAGGCATGGGGAAGGGGCAGAGGGAGAGAGCGAGAGAGAATCTCAAGCAGACTCCCCACTGAGTGTGGAGCCAGATGTGGGGCTCGATCTCATGGTCCTGAGATCATGACCTGGGCCGAAATCGAGAGGCTGACATTTAACCGACTGAACCATCTAAGGACCCCGATGAAAACTGTTTTCTGATTATATCTGATGAGCATTCTCATCTACTGTGTTGGTTTTATCAATATACTGATTGATTATCCCAATAATTCAACGCGTGTGTTCCTAATTTTACCATGACAGCCTCGCCCTGTCAAGCTGCCTGGGCTGGGAGAGGGCCTCTGAGAAGTTCAGGAAGGTGCTGGGGGAATAGAAAACATTGACTAATCTTTCGAATTGTCATTCAGGTCACCGTTATCTCATTGAGCCACCAAAAGAAACTGATGGGAGTAAATGCTAGTCTTAGGGAAACTGAGGCTAGAAAGGGAAGGCTGCTGGTCACAAGGACCACAGCTAGAATACGGGGGAGGACTGGGAGCCAGGCCTCTGCAAATAGCCCACCCTTTAGCCTCTGCCAGTCCCTCCCACGGCTGCAGGGGGGGCAATGTGCTGCTCTTCCAATAAAGAGACCTTTGTCGCAATGAGGGGCAATCAAGCAAATTTACCAACTCACTCAACTCTCATCTATCTCTGAAACATTTCTTCACTAAAAGTTGCTTTAGAGGGACTCTGGGGGGCTCAGTGGTTGAGCACCTGCCTTTGGCCCAGGGTGTGATCCTGGGGTCCAGGGATCGAGTCCCACATCGGGCTCCCTGCATGGGGCCTGCTTCTCCCTCTGCCTGTGTCTCTGCCTCTCTCTCTCTGTATCTCTCATGAATAAATAAATAAAATCTTAAAAAAAAAAAAGATTCCTTCAGAAACAGCCAGTTCTATCTGCTTGTTATAACCTGGCTTCTGCTTTTAAATTTAAGATGCACTTTTAATGTTTAGAACCAGTTCAGTTATTTTTCTGGATATGTGAAAACTATACTGTTACAATAAAACAACTCTGTCACGGTTTCCTTTCAAGAAGTTCACATTTACTACCTAGAAAATAATTCTGTGCTTATGGAAGTGAGCGTTTAGAATTTTTGGAACACAAAGAGAAATGCTTGTAGAAGAATGCTTGAAGTCTCAAGAAGTTTTAGCCGAAATCCACAGGTACTTGTGCACCATGGTCGGAATTGGAATTGTTCTTCGCCTTCTTCCATGTGGCAGGATTTTGAAAAAAGAGAGGTCTGAGTTCCAGTGCTAAAGTAACAGTTAATTTTTTTTTTTGGCATTTTACCACTTGGAAGCTTATTCTTTCCTTCTCTCTCTGTTTCAATTCCTTGATCTTTTTTTTTTTGCATTGTTAAATGTAGTATTTTAGGATTATACACCATACGCTCATCTCTTACCGCCCCCTGATAGCACAGACGTCTTTTCCAGTGGGGCAAACAATCCCTGTCACCTTGCCACCTTCTGATTCTGTTTGCCCTGGAAGCAATAAGAATGAGCTTAAATGAGATCCAGAGGTCATCAACCCTGCCTTTGTGCCAGGACATGCAAACTCCCCAAGCCAATTACTAACCTGTTTTTAAAACACCCTCCAATCAGGAAGAATCCATGACTTCTTTTTGTGAGCTGTTGCACTGTGCAAGAGCACACTGTAAACGTGCTCTTTATCTGTGTGTCCTCTTATCTCACCGTTCTATTTTTTCCTCATTTGAGTTAACCCTTTCTTACCTTTTTATGAACCTCTAGGCCTTCTCAGAAGAGGTGGGAGACAAATGTCACCCTGTACACAGGCAAGACGGTAAGGTGAGTCGTAGTCCCTGGGAACCTTGGTGCCCGAATCTCCAGCTACGCTGGATGCACAGGAAGGTTCTAGCATTCCTCATTTTATAAGGTATTTATCTGGCTGCTGCTAAGCAAACATCCTCAATCCTTTTGAACTCCCGGAGACTGCCGTTTCAGAGTCTGTTTCCAAACAGGACGCTAGAGGGCTCCCAGGGGTTAAAAATGAGTGGAAAGTGCTCAGAATGAAAACTGCTTCTGTAAGGCGTTGGCTTTTTTTTTTTTCTTCCAGAATTTAAAAATTAGAGTTTATATTGCAAACTATTAAAAAAAAAAACAAACCTGAGGCGTCTTAAAACTGGGTGACCAGCAGCCAGTTTACAAGGAACCGTTTTGCTTTGCAATCAGTAGTTTTCAAGGGAGCTTTTAAAGCTGAGCTGAAATATTTGAAATGTGGAACACTCTTGACCATGAAATATGTTCTACTTACATGCCTCAGCCTCTAAAAGTTCTTTGCATTACAGTCAGGGATTACATTCTTCCTGGAGCCAAGCGTGGGGCCAGCTGTGCAAGTAAGGTTGCTTCTGAGCTCTTCTCCTTTTTTAATAATTAAGTGAAAAAAATAGAGCTAGAGATCCCTTTATTTTCTTTCAGCTGACTTTTGTGGGAAGAGGAGGAATGAAAAGCAGTTAGATTTGTGTTTTGTGTTTATGTGTGTGTGTGTGTGTGACTGCATAAACGTAACTTCTAAGATATACGGACACTTACAGCTTTCTATTAGAATGATTCTTACTGTAGGATGATGAAATACGATGAAGGAAAAAAAAAAAAAAACAACTGTGCTATCAGATTAAGAGAATAGGTTTCTGGATTTGAATGCTAATACTTGGTGCTTCTGCCCAATGCGTAATGCAGGACTTTCACGAATACGCATGGGATGGCCACAGATTATCTTTTTTTTTTTTAAAGCATCTATTAGTTCTCTTAAATCATCCCCAAACTTCAGAAAGTTTGCCAGATTGCCAGATTTTAATTCTTTTCTCTCCGCATCAAATTCAACGAGTGGCCACAAGTCATCAAACATCCTTGGCTTTTCATGGTTCGTCCTCACTAAATCTAAACTGCAAGTGGAATCTGGACATCTGTGTCGTTTCGCTTTTTCCGAACTTCGTTCTTTTTACAACAAACCGTTTCATGATGGGGAGATCTGCGAGGAAAGGGTTACTTTTTCCTCTAGAAGAGGAACCGAACCAGTTTGAGACCGTGACTCAGGTCTGTTCCCATTCATTTGCAGAAGCCGGCGTCGCGTGCGCCCGGGGAGGCGGCCGGAGCGGACGAGGCTGCGCCCTGCGCCCTGCGCGCTGCACCCTGCGCCCTGCGCGCTGCACGCGCTGCACCCCGCGCCCTGCACCCCGCGCCCTGCACCCGGCGGCGGGGCCCCGGGGCGCAGGCCACGCTCCGCGCAGCATGCGGGCGCCGCGCAGCGATGACCGGCCCGCGCTCGCCGGGGCGGCTCCTGACCCGGCTGCTGGGCGCGCGCTGCGGCCCGCGGCTCCCTAAGCTGTGCGGCGGCCGGCGGCCCGGGGCGCGCAGGACCCTGCTGCTGGGCACGGCCTGCGCCCTCTACCTGGGCTTCCTGGTGAGCCAGGTGGGGCGCGCGGCCCCGCGGCCCCGGGACGCGGCGGGGAGGGCGCAGCCCCGGGGCGGCCGCGCGGCCGGAGCGCCCTTGGCCGAGGGCCCCTGGGCCGGCCCCGTCGGCGCCCCCGAGCCCCGGGGCGCGGGCTCCGCGCTGCCGCTCAACGTGGTGTACATCACCCTGCGCTCCCGGCGCAGCAAGCCCGCGCACATCCGCGGCACCGTGAGGCCCAAGCGCAGGAAGAAGCCCGCGCTGGCGTCGCCGGGCCCGGGCCGCGACGTCTCGGCCGCCCCGTCCCCCGGGCCGCGGCGCGCGGCCGCCCACGCGCCCCCCGGGGGTCGGACGCGGGGCTCGGGGGCGCCGGCCGGGGGCCGGGAGAGCGGCATCCGGATCTACAGCGAGAGCGCCCCCTCGTGGCTGAGCAGAGACGACATCCTGAGGATGCGCGCGCTGGCGGACGGCGCGCTGGCCCGGGCCCCGGGGGGCCGCGCGCACCTGCTGCTGCTGGGAGCCGGCGCCCCGGGCTCCGCGCGCCGCTGCGGCCCCCGCGCCTGCGGGCTGCTCCGGCGGCCCCTGGACCTCAGCGAGGTCTTCGCCTTCCACCTGGACAGGATCCTGGGCCTCAACAGGACCCTGCCGGCCGTGGGCAGGAAATCCGAGCTCATCCAAGGTACCAGCCTCCCGGGGCCCGGGGCGGGCGGGCCCGACGTGCAGCGGTTGGGGATTCGGGTGGCCCTCGCTCCCTCTCCGGAGCTGCTTCCTCCAACTCCCCCCCCCAACCCCCACGCCTCGCACCCGCACGGCAGCCCGTCCCTCCCGACGCGGGGCGCCCCGCATCTTCCCGGCTCGGGGCGGGGGGGGGGTTGCTCCCGGGAGGGGCTGTCCTGGGGTGCAAGGGGGGCCCCCCGCCGCGCGGCCCAGGGGCTTGTCACATCTAATTGAAGCCAGTGGCAATTAGCATGATGAGAGGAAGCGGGGTGGAGGCCAAGGGCTTGCTGACAGGTGTGTTATTAGGTCACTATGCGAGAACGTAGGACTCCATTCCTTAGGAGTTTTTTAAAAGTAAAGGGGAAAGCGGTTATCCTTCTGCAGCAGATGCAATCTTTATTTACCTATCTATCTATCATCTATCAATCAATCAATCAATTTATCTATCATCTATCTATCGACAGAGAGACGCAGGCAGAAGGAGAAGCAGGCTCCATGCAGGGAGCCCCACGCGGGACTCGATCCCGGGCCTACAGGATCAGGCCCTGGGCTGAAGGCGGCGCTGAACCGCTGGGCCACCCGGGCTGCCCCAAGATGGAATCTTTAAAAGGCCCAGAGCCTGGGCACCTGGGCGGCTCAGCGGTTAAGCATCTGCCTTTGGCTCAGGTCATGACCCCGGGGTTCTGGGATGGAGGCCCACGTCGAGCTCCCTGCATGGAGCCTGCTTCTTCCTCTGCCTGTGTCTCTGCCCACCCCCCTCTCTCATGAATAAACGAGTAAATCTTAAAAAAAAAAAAAAAGGCCCAGAGCCAGACCACGTTAGAGTTGGCCCTTTGATTCTCTTAACTTGGATTTAACCCTCTTACTTTACAAAGAAAATGAAGCAAAGATAGGCAATTTGTTCAGTGCGTATAGTAACCAGCTATACGGTCTCCTTGAGCCTGTGAGTCTTATTTATTGAGCCTGATTTCTAAGACACTGTCACGTGACAAACATTTTGGCGGGTTCTGGGCTGTGTGGCCAGTCACTTTAGTTGCAGGCAAGGGGCCTGGTCTATGGCCATGCTCGTGCCACAAAAAGGATGTTTTCTGAACCTTAAGGCTGTTGCAGGCTTTGCAGACAAGTAGGGTGGGCCAGCGACTTGTGTTTGGAAGCACAATAATCCCAGAAGTTGCCAGTGTGTGAATCTGGGCTGGCCCAACAGGCTAAAAAGGACCACGAGGGGATTAAAAGCTCAAAGAGGTTTTGGTTTTTTTTGTTTTTTTTTTTTTTAACTTTTAGTCATCATAAAATTTAGCATTGTACGGAGTCTGGAATGGAATGAATTAAAATTATTGGGCGTGGCCAAGATCTAAACTGCATTTCCAATTGCTTTAGGATTATAATTTAGTCTTAAAATGGATACTTCTTGAAGTACCTGCGATTTACTTAGAAAGGCTTGGCATTCCTTACTCATCCTGGCTCGTGTCTAAGAGCTTCAGATTCACAGGTATGTTCTGATGTCTCAGGTTCATAAAACAGCCCGCTATGATTAGGGAGATGTGCGATAACCTCTCAAATATTTAAAAAAAAGGTTGGTAAAAGCTCATTTTTCTTGGATGCTTAGTATTTGCTAGGCACTATAGTAATCGATTCATATAGTTGATACATGTCCTGACCCTCTGCTTCTCACAATGGTGCCATCAGGTAGGTACCGTTATTATTTCCTTTTGGTACGTGTGAAAACTGAGTCTTATTTAGCTAAACTAATTGACCTCAGTTTCCACAGCTAGTAAATGGCTAAGTTGGGTTCCAAACGTAGACTCAGAAAACTGCAGAACTTGAGGTCTTAATCCCTGGCCTTGGGTGGCCCTATAAGTCCTCATCCAAAGTAGACCACCATGGAGTAAAAGAAGGTATTGGTGAGCATTCAGAGAACAGGCAAAGCAGAGCACAGCATGGGGTCACTCTTGTTGTCCTGTACTGCCATTCACTGTCATGTCAGAAAGGCCCCTCTCATAGTATCTCTGAATGCCTCAGTTTCCCCAGCTGTAAAAGGACAATAATACCTACCTCATGAAGTTGTCGTTAGTTAATATGTGAAAAACGCATGGAGTGAGGGTTTGTCAGATGGTAGGTCTTCAATAAATATTGACTACTCTTGTTACCACATAATGCACAGGAGGGACCAAGTTTATGGAATTACCTATGTGGCCTCTAAGCCTCACGTATCATTTCTTTACGTGACACAACCAGGTCTAAAACCCTGATCTCTTGATTGCTCAGTTAAAGTTTTTAGTATCAGGATTCCGTGTATATATTTAGTCCTGTGCTCTGAATATCCAGAATCTTTGTAAAAATATTTTTGTTTGGTTATTTTAGAGACAATGAGAGAGAGAGAGAGAGAGAGAGAGAGAGAGAAAGGTGGGGTGAGGGGCAGAGGGAGAGAGGGAATCTCAGGCAGAGTCCCTGCTGAGTGTGATGATCCCACAACCCTGAGGTCTTGACCTGAGCTGAAATCAAGAGGCGATGTGGACGCTTATCTGACTGAGCCACCCAGGTGCCCCCAGGATATCCGGCACTTATGGGGATGGAGAGGGCAGTTGCATTCGATATGATGGAGGGGTTGGTTTACAATCCCAGTACATCCTGGTGTTCTCTCATTTCAGATGTAAGTGGTGATGGAAAGAACCCAACAAGGTGCTATCAACATGACTCTCAGTGTGATGACTTAAATGCCCAAGATTACATCTCAAACAATACTAGATCTTTCCTTGTTTTTTCCTTTAACACCTTCTCCTGTGTGCTTATTTAGAGACGTAAAATCAAGCCAATTTCCTTGGAGGTCTATGACCTGATTTGAATGTAGGTATGAGTCCTCTACACAATATAATTCTACTCACGTAGGCTATTACGTGGAAATAAAGTACATAAATAGATCAGTTCTGGTCTTGGTAGGAGATATATAGACAGCCTTAGGTTCTCAGTGTCTATCTCCATCCACCTATTTCTAGGCTTTTCCTGACACGTCTTTCCTCTTTTGATTTCCACAGAAGAGCGTATTTTCCTCTAGGGTCCTCTTCTCTTGGTCTAAGCTTAGATTTATTTCAGGTTCCCTGCTTACCTAAGGAAGTGATAGATCTCATCTAGTTGCCCAGGACCTATTTCTGGTTCGTTTGATGTCATCTCTTTGAATTACAGTGGCTCATTTAATCATCTTTTCATTTCCTCCAGTCTCTAGGTTTGTGAAGGCAGAGGTAGCTCCTGTCTTGTTTATCATTTCTAGATCTGAGTGGTGAGTCTCGGACATAGTAGGTGTTCAAGAAATATTTTTGAATGAATGCAGGAATACATTCGTGGCCCATTCCGCTGACTCTTCACGGTACATCTGTATTTGCTTCCACTTCCAATAGTACTTGTCAGGAGACAAGTGCTACCATCTTTAGTCCTAAAGTTCAGGCTGAGATTTCTCCTGGACGATCTTATAAAGAGCTCACTGTAGAGGTAATGAAAAGTTTTTGGCAGCCCCTGTGTTATGCAAATAACGAGGTTTATAGAACTTATTCTTGTGAGGACCATCAGTATGGTCTGCTGGCCTCACACTGCAATGTAATTTGATAATGAGTTTTCTGTAGGAGGAACTGTTGGATTATTTTAGGTATATATTTCTCTGGCGATTTGGCTTGGTCTAAGGATAGATTTTTTTTTTTTAATATCTGGGAGAGTGCGTAGCCAGAAAATCCTGTAAGTAATCCTGCTGTGTTTCTGTTCTCTGACTTTTGATTAATGTTTGTGAAAATAAATTCATGCCCAGCACCAAGAACACAGCGAGTCTGTATTATGAATCAAATACAGATATTACGCTTATCTCAGTAAATCTTTCCAAAACACCTGTGCAGCAGAAACTTTTTTTTTTTAACCTTAATTTGAAGATGGGAAAAAAGGAATGAGAAAATTGTGCTAGGTCATACAATGAGTTAGTAGTCATCGAGAAAGAGCTTCCTTGTCTTCTGACTTCCTTGGCTTTCCTGTTTCCGTCAACCTACTTCCTTCAACAAATCCTTGAAGGGGCCTTACGGTAGGACTTTTTCCCCCCTTACCACAGTGTATTGGCATATCTGGTTATTTAATGCAGTGGAATAGATGGCTTGTGCAGTGATGCACAAGGACGAGAGCCTCTTTATTGTCAAGGAGGCAGCAACCTTAACCATGGCAAAAGTCATGTTGAGGTTATGATATACTAGGCACCGTTTTAAGTACCGCGCATGAATTATCTCATTAACTCCTCATAAAAATTTTACAAGATGGGTCCTCTGTGAGAGACGGTCTGTAGATGTGGAAGTGGAGGCCCAGAGTAATTACCTACTTAGCTCAAAGTCACGTACATTGCCTGTATGTAAAAAGGGTATGTGAGATGGGGGGGGGAGATGTGAGAGTATTAAGTGCTATCACTAGCTGATCCCCCTGCCTGCCCCCGCCTCTCAGATGGATCTCTCTGTTGATTCAGCCCAAAGACAAAAGGTCTCCGTTACAAAGCTCGTCTTCAGGTTTTGTTTGTTTTTTAATTAGTAAAACTGTTGTGGATGCTCCTATCAGCACGGAGCCGCTAGCTCAGCTTAGCTTGGGACAGGTTCTTGGTTGTGTAACTTGATGAATTCGCTGCGATTCTCTTTGAGTGCAAAAAGTGTGTATGTGAAATCAGTGGACTCACTGACCTGGAGCTGTATACTAGACCTTTCTCCGACAGGTGCTTTTCCAAAGAGAATGGAGAAAATGAGAAGGGCGTCCTTGGGGAAAGGCAAGGGTGTAATTAGGTAGGGAGCGCCAGTGGTATACCATACTACAAAATCTAGCAATTATCACTGGAACACAGCCTCATCCTGTGCATATCCATGTGGGAAATGCAAAAGTGAATGGAAATATAGCATCAAAGGGCTTTTTAGAAAAAAAAATCAGGTTTTGCAACAATGGCATCTTCTTCAG